GTCTGTGTGAGTGTGTGACTGTTTGTGTGAGACTGTGTGACTGTCTGTGTGAGACTGTCTGTGTGAGACTGTGTGACTGTCTGTGTGAGACTGTGTGACTGTGTGAGACTGTGTGAGACTGTGTGACTGTCTGTGTGAGTGTGTGACTGTCTGTGTGAGACTGTCTGTGTGAGTGTGTGACTGTCTGTGTGTGACTGTCTATGTGAGTGTGTGACTGTCTGTGTGTGACTGTCTGTGTGAGTGTGTGACTGTCTGTGTGAGACTGTCTGTGTGAGACTGTCTGTGTGAGACTGTCTGTGTGAGACTGTCTGTGTGAGACTGTCTGTGTGACTGTCTGTGTGACTGTCTGTGTGACTGTGTGAGACTGTCTGTGTGACTGTGTGAGACTGTCTGTGTGACTGTCTGTGTGTGAGTGTGACTGTCTGTGTGAGTGTGTGACTGTGTGAGACTGTCTGTGTGAGTGTGTGACTGTCTGTGTGAGACTGTGTGTGACTGTCTGTGTGAGACTGTCTGTGTGAGTGTGTGACTGTCTGTGTGAGACTGTCTGTGTGACTGTCTGTGTGTGACTGTCTGTCTGTGTGAGACTGTCTGTGTGTGTGTGACTGTCTGTGTGAGACTGTCTGTGTGACTGTGTGACTGTCTGTGTGACTGTGTGACTGTGTGTGACTGTGACTGTCTGTGTGACTGTGTCTGTGTGAGTGTGTGACTGTCTGTGTGTGTCTGTGTGAGTGTGTGACTGTCTGTCTGTGTCTGTGTGAGTGTGTGACTGTCTGTGTGACTGTGTGTGACTGTCTGTGTCTGTGTGAGTGTGTGACTGTCTGTGATGAGAGTGTGTGACTGTGTCTGTGTGAGTGTCTGTGTGTGTCTGTGTGAGTGTGTGACTGTCTGTGTGTGACTGTCTGTGTGTGTGTGACTGTCTGTGTGTGACTGTCTGTGTGTGACTGTCTGTGTGAGTGTGTGACTGTGTGTGTGACTGTGTGTGATGTGTGAGTGTGTGATTGTCTGTGTGTGTGACTGTCTGTGTGTGACTGTCTGTGTGTGACTGTGTGACTGACTGTGTGAGTGTGTGACTGTCTGTGTGAGTGTGTGACTGTCTGTGTGTGACTGTGTGAGTGTGTGAGTGTGTGACTGTGTGAGCATGTGACTGTGTGTGACTGTCTGTATGAGTGTGTGACTGTCTGTATGAGTGTGTGACTGTCTGTGTGAGTGTGTGACTGTGTCTGTGTGTAACTGTGTCTGTGACTGTCTGTGTGAGTGTGTGACTGACTGTGTGTGTGACTGTCTGCCTGTGTGTGTGTGTGTGTGTGTGTGGCTGTCTGCCTGTGTGTGTGTGTGTGTGAGTGTGTGGCTGTCTGCCTGTGTATGTGTGTGGCTGTCTGCCTCGGTGTCAGTGACTGTCTGCCTGTGTGTGTGTGTGTGTGGCTGTCTGCCTGGGTGTCAGTGACTGTCTGCCTGTGTGTGTGTGTGGCTGTCTGCCTGGGTGTCAGTGACTGTCTGCCTCTGTGTGTGTGTGCGTGCATCTGCTAGTGAGGGAGCCTCTGTGTGTGTGTGCCTGCTAGTGAGTTTGTGTGTGTGTGTGCCTGCTAGTGAGTGAGCTTGTATGTGTGTCAGTGAGCTTGTCTGTAGGGATCATATGTGTGTGTGTTAGTGAGCTTGTCTGTAAGGAGCATGGGTGTGTCGGAGCCTGTCTGTGGTAGCATGTGTGTACAGTGAGCTTGTCTGTAGTAAGCATGAGTGTGATCGTGAGCTTGTCTATAGTGAGCATGTGTGTGTCAGTGAGCTTGTCTGTAGTGAATCTGTGTGTTAGTGAGCTCTTCTGTAGGGAGCATGTGTGTGTCAATGGGCTTGTCTGTAGGGAGAGTGTGTGCGCATCAGTGAGCTTGTCTGTAGTGAGCGTGTGTGTGAGACAGTGAGCTTGTCTATAGTAAGCTGTGTGTGTGTATCAGAGTTTGTCTGTACTAAATTTGTGTGTGTGCCAGTAACCTTGTCTGTGTGTGTCATTGTCTGTCAATGAGCCTATTTGTGTGCATCAGTAAGATTGTCTGTCTGTGTGTGAGTATGCTCCTACTGTATAATTTAATTAACCTAAAAGAACTAATATTTTGAATTAGAAGAAGAAATGTATCAATAAAATATATATATATATATATACTGTTGCATCACCAGGGCTCCAGTATCCAGTATATATATATAGGCAATTGAAATAGTTGGCTGCACTCTCGGATTTCCTTAAAATTTTACTTTTATTTAAATATTTAAGAGAAGATCAACGTTTCAGTCCCTCTTGTGGACTTGCATCAGGATCGTGACGAAAGTCCACAAGAGGGACTGAAACATTGATCTTCTCTTAAATATTTCAATAAAAGTTACATTTTCAGGAAATCCGAGAGTGCAGCCAACTATTTCAATTGTGTGTGTGTGTGTGTATATATATATATATATATATATATATATATATATATAAATAAACACCCTACATAGCACAATGACTTATGGGGCTGGCATAGATTTTTTTCCAGGGCTGCTTTGTATCCCCAGTCCGGCCCTGGATATATGAGTAAAATGTCTTCATGTCAATGTATCGACGATGCTTTACCATACCACTGTTCCCCATCCTTATTCTCTTCTGTACCCTTATAAAACTTTAATAAAAATTGTCAAAGATAAAAAAAAAAAAAAAATAGACACTGTCCCTCCTAAATTCTGAATCTATTTGTGTTGGATGCCCCTAGAGATGGTCTGATTGACTGTCAAATGCAAACTGCAGTTTCACAGAAATGTACCGTCTTTATTTGCAAAGCTGTGAAGACAACATCAATGTCCCAAATTCATTTAATTAAGATAAAATGATTTTGGTGCCCAATTTGTCCCTTTAATGTGTATTTTCTACAATGTGCAATTCCCTTGCCAATTCTCCACAATTACTAGCAAATAACCCCCGTATAATTTATTTGTGAAGCTTTTGGGAGCTATCCGTTCCTGAGTTAATTTAGCAATGTCCCTTTTTCTACCACACTATTCCATATTCTGATACACAGGGCAGTGTGTTCTATAAGAATATTTGGCCTTGAAAACGTCTACTCCTGCCAGTAGTTATTATTGCATGACTTCAATCATGTATTTAAATCTCTTTCTTAATCTGCCGTGTCCTTTCGGGTTTTGTTTCGCTTATTGCAGTATTAACGTTCCGTGTATTTGTCAAAGCAGCCTTAGTCTGACAGCTAGAGTGTCTGCTAAGATGTTTTTGACCTCTCTGTTCACTGCTTCGCATTGAAGCTGAGCCTCACTGTCCAGCTTTGATTGTATTGACTACTTTTCTCTTATCTGTATTTGTAACCCACATGGTTTCTTTTCATGAAACATAGACCTCCGTTGCTCTGTGTATCCTTCAAATCCCCTGCATTAATATCAGATGTAGATGATTTAAGAAGGATTAGCATTTAAATACCCTATTTGTATTTGTGAAGTTTAATGTTTCTTATATTTTCACTATTTAGTCATTATTATTATTATTTTATTATTTATATAGCGCCATCAGATTCCCGTACTTTGCTTTCTGTAGTAAACTTCTGCTTCAGAAAACACATTTTGTACATTTCAACCTTGTTATCTGAGCTGCAGGTCTGTCAATATTAAACAGCACCCACTCTTTAATTCCATACTCTATGAAAGAGGTATAACTGCAACAAATGTAACGTTGTTGAGCTACAACATAATTCTCTGTCCAAGTTGTAGCACAATAACTACAGGAAGTTGCATTTGACACCCGTAAAAAATGGAACAATCCTGGCCACATAATCCAGTAATTTTTGAGGCATGGTAGATTGAAGGGTGAACTAGGTCTAGATAGATACTATCAGAAATGTTGTGGGGAGGGAGGTCAGTAAAAAACAAAAAATAAAGATTATAGTGTCCACAGAAATCATAAATCCAGTATGGAGGAGTGTCAAGTTTCCCAGTTTGGCATGGCCTTACTGCCAAGATGGAAGGATGCACAGCCTTAGTGAAAATTTAGGGCACGTGTTCTCACGACAGCTCACTACAGCCAGGGTTTGGAGAATCGAGGGACTAAAGTGCCGTTCTGCTGGATTCATCCAACCAAGATATACTCTCATCATGGGGTGGAGTGGTGATGGCACAGCCGACTTGGAGCAGACTTTCCAGAGTGGCCTACTGGCATTGCAAGTACAAAAGGTAGAATAAGCGCCAAGGGATCAATTAATATAAACAGTAAATTAAGCTGCAAAGGAATACCCC